CTTGCAGACAGAAAGGCCCCCAGGTGTGGCTCGCTTGCTCGCGAGCGCGCTCTCTCTCTCTTCTCCTTCGGGCCTCCTTCCCACCCTTTTTCTCTCCACCACTTCCACCCCGTTGCTGCCCCACTGGAATAAACCTCCTAAGATACCTCGTTGCATCTGGTGTTTTCAGCTCACGGTAAAGAACCAGGTCGCGGGAATTAGACGCACGTAATAATATCGTAATATTGTATGAACTAGAACTCTAATCTTTTTAAATAACTAACACTGGCTACTCTCCTTTTGATCCAGCTCCTTGCTAATGGCCTGAGAAAAGCAGTGGAGGATGGCCCAAGTGCTAATCCCTGCTACCCACGTGGAGACCTAGAAGAAGCTCCAGGCTCCTGGCTTGAGCCTGGTCCATGGCTTTGTTGTAGCCACCTGAGAGCTCAAACTAGCAGATGGAACATTCTTCTGTCTTCTATGTAACTGCAACTCTTTCAATTACAAAAAGATTTATTGTATTTATTTGAAAAGCAGAAAGACAGGTTCATCTTCCATCCATTAGTTCACTCTCCAAATTGCCATGACGTTTTGGGTCTGGGCACGGTCAAAGTCACCAGCTGCGTACTCCATCCAGGACTCCCATATGGGTAAAGGGGCCCAAGCACTTGGACCTTCCTCCGCTGCCTTCCAGGCACATTAGCAGGAAGCTGGATCCGAAGTGGAGCAGCCAGGACTTGAGCTGGTATGCAGATGTGAGACGTCAGTGTTACAAGCAGCGGCTCTACCCGCTGCACTGCAATGCTGGCTGCTTCACAGGCCCTCGCCTGAGCTGTCCATCAGCACCCGAAGAAGGGAGTGTTATCTCCAACAAAAGCTAAGCGCGCACCTTCCGTAGTGACATAAAATGAACATTTGTTAAGCATTTTATTTGATTCACAAGGGAGTCAGGTGGATCCTAGAATCAACTCCAAAGGGCATCAGGGAGGCGTCACGTGCACAGGTCAGGAATACTGAAGCCAACGTGCAAATGGAAGCCAAGCCGGCCTTGCAGCGTGGGGGTGTGGGGGACAGAAGGGATTGTCTCTCTGCAATCTCCAGACTGTAGGACAGCCCGATGCACAGGAGAGCTGGGAGCCGGCAGCCGGAAGGAAAGGCACGCTGCCTACGAACGGCACAAAGTATTCTGCCGACCGGGGGCTTTCTGCAGAAGGAAGGTGGCGGCCGGGGGGCGTCCCCAAGTCTTGGGGGGAATCATTCTTTGAGCTGTAACATGACTCACCCACAGGAGGAACAAAGTACGGAAACCACAGCTCACTCGCAAGCCGAGGCCCGCAGTCCAAACCCAGCCACCCAGAAGACAAAGGGCTCAATATGTGAAAGGTTTTTTGTTTTTTTTTTTCAATTGGATGCTGGCATCTGGGTCACATGATGGATTTTAGAACCTTCTAGAATATAGGTGTTTCTGAAGTGGGTCTGCAGTGGAGGATGGGCAGCCTCCTGGTCCTTGAATGGGGGGTGTTAACATTAGCTGTTTCACAGGTGAGCCAGGCTGCGGGAATTCTCACCAGCCCAGTGCTTCCCCGCCCCCACTGCACCCCTTTCTGCCCCAATGGATTCCTAGTTTCCACTTTCTGGAGGGCAGGAAGCAGTGTTTGGTTGCCCCGGAGCGGCTGGAAGCTGGGCAGATTTCCTGCCTCCAAGCACCTGCCTCAGGTAAGGAGGACCCCCAGGAATGAAGTGACCTGCAGGAAGGCTCAGGGCTCCTCAGGAACTCCAGACTAATTCCCGTGCCTCCATTCTAGGTGGCAGCAGCGGGGACTCCAGCAGGGCTGTCCTAGGGATGCGGGAGGACAGTGGGGACCCAGGACTACGTGCTGCACGTTCTCAGCCACTCGCTTTGTCCTGTCAGCCTCCCTGCGACCCGGTGCGGTGGGCAGCAGGGAAGGGAAGGAACCCAGTGAGCGCCCGCCTCGCTCCCACTTCTCCGGCCCAGGTCGCCCTCTAGTGGCTGCGAGCGTGTCCACAGCAGCAGGCCACGAGTTGACAGTTGACTCTTTAAGAGCGTTTTTTGTTTTTTGTTTTTTTTAATCAAGCTTTAATATTATTTATATAGTTGAAAGGGGTGCATGCCCTCGTGGATTTCTGATTTTGGTGGGGAGGGATGAGGTATGGAGGAAGCCAGGTGGGACAAATGTTTCCTTTTTTTTTTTTTTTTCCCTCCTGTATCTGCAGCAGAAGGGAGCCATTCCTTGCTGCCAACTACATGGACACCAGGCACAGGAGGTGGTCCTTTGAGGATGCCTTAGAGATTCTGATGTGGGGAAGAGTATTCTGAAGGTGTTACTTGTGTGGTTTGGATAGTTCTGAGCCGTCTCAGATTTTTTGTTGAGAAAATCTTTGCAAAGTCTATTGGCTGGCCAGTCCACCTCAATGTGTATCCACAGACCCAGAACATGTCACAAAGCTTGGCCAGGAGAGCGGTCCAACCTGTTCTGCTTTCTATCCTCTGAGGAGACATTCAGTGTCTTCTGCTGGCCTAGAGGAGCTGGCTGTCATGTCCCCTGTGAGCATCTGGGCATGCTGCTCACTGCACAGGCATCAGCAACTGAAGAGGCCCAGTCCTAACACAGGCACTCGAAAATCATACCACATATATTGTGATTTTCCCTGTGGCAAGGGTTTGAGTCTAGGAATCTGGTTGGAGAGTCGCCGCCCGCCCCAAGAAACTTCACCTCAGTCTTGGCTCATGCCAACCCGTGCAGGGTCAGGTTTGGTCCATCACCTGCACCAGCCAGCACACATACAGGTGGATGCAGCTGCATGGTCAGTTCTGCCCCCAGCTCCATCTTGCTCCATCTCTCATGGGAACTGATGGGTACTGTGCCTTAGCCCGGCCCAGCCCGCCACACACCTGGTCTTTACACATACCAGCAGGTCTAGAACCCCTACCAGGACCACATCCAGCCCTGGTTGCTGCATGTGTTGTGGTCCAGGCCAGTCTGTGCTACATCCCATCTGGCTCTAGTGCAAATCCATGGATGTTGCAGCATAGCTCAGCCTGCCCCACTCCCAGACCCCAGTTCACATGTATGCCAACAGTGCTGCTGCCGTGACCAGCCTGGCCCACTCCCAGCCCTGGCTCTCATGTTCACCAGCAGGAGTTACAGCCCACAAAGGTGAGGCCGAGGGGTGCCCACAGCCCCCCTACCAGGCCTGATCCAAGTTCTGGATCTTGTACTTGCCAGGGGGTACTGCAGTCCAACCTGACATGCCTCACACACAGGCCTGGCACTCGCCAGCAGATGCTGCAGCCTTCCCCAGCAGCTCTGTGTGTGCAGAGGATCGAATGCACATGTGTAAAGTGCTAACAGATAGGCCGCAGGCAGTGAGCCAAGGCCAGGGTGGGTAAATGCCCATTCCCAGGGGTCTGATCTGACGCTCAGGTGCCCACACAAACTGCAAGGCCCAATTGCAGGGCCTTGGACAAAGGGCAGAGGCACCACAGACTCTTGCCAGCTTCCTCCCATGGCAACAAGCCTGCAGGCCATAGGATCAGCTAAGGCCCAGTGTACACAGGGCTCATTCAAACGCTCAGGTCCTGGGTCAGCTTCCCCAAGTCTGGGCTCCTTCCTGCCACATACACACACTCCCTAGCCCTGAAGTCCACAACCAGGGTCGCCTGGTCAGGTGCAAACAGCACTTAGAGGCCTCCGAGCAGTGAGGACTCCGCTGCCAGCAGCCCACAGACAACACTGCAGCTCCCAGCACGTGGCCTGTGTTCAGACGCACATCCGAGGTAGTCACTGCAGGTCCTCGGCAGGGGGCATGAGGAAGACCCCCGTTTCTTTCCTGCACATGCTAAGTCAAGCCCAGGGTCTGAAGGGAAGGGGCGGGGGCCACTGCAAGTTGAGGCTCACAGTTTTCTCAAGCTGGTCCCATCTGCCAGGGACCTCAGACGTGACCCAGGTGAGCTACTCCGAGGCATGCTTTTATTTGTACGTGAAAGAGGAACAAACATCGGTGACACAGGACTGGGTGGATATATCACTCAGTCCGAGGCTAACACTGGAAGCAGTGACAGCTCAGGGAGGAAGTTAAAGGAAGTCACACACTGCAGGTGATCTACAGGAAGTGGCAGGTGGACACAGTGGCTCAAGACTGACTCGCAGATGAGGCTGGTCCCCGGGATGGCAGGGTCTGACGGAGAGACAGGCCTGGCGCAGGGCACTGTGGGGCCCCCAGGCACCTGACTCCATCCAGGAGAGCCCAGAGAGGAGAGTACACGGTGTTTCATCATTCAGGCCCTACAACATGCCTGAGGACGTATAAAACAACAAAGGTGATTTTCCTTAAAAAAGGAGAAAGATCTTGCAGGTGAGGCCTTGTCACAGTGGCAGGGGCAGTGCAGGCTGGCCAGGGCTGCAGGGCTGTGGCAGGGAGGGTGAAGGAGCGGAGCAGGGAGAGATGTCCACGGCCCCAGGACCCACCCTGCTGCCCAGCGTACAATGGGACGCCACAGCTGCGGACAGACGGATGGAAGGCAGTCTGTGGGCAGTGGTGCTAGAAAGCAGGCAGAGGGTAGGGCTGCCAATGGCCTTGTATGGCCATGGATCACCCCCTCTGCCCGGCTCCACACCAACCTGCCATGTCCCCAAGTTGGGGCATCCATGGCTGTGCCACCTTGGGTCACCTTCTCTCCCACCAATGGCCCTCTAACAGTGCTGCCCTGTACCCAGGGCTGGCCTGCATACCTCCTGTTAGGGACACATACACCCAGACTGTCCCCAGCAGTGGGTCCAAGGGGCCAGATGGTGACACAGCACAGGAGCCTTCTGGGGTCCAGGGGCGGAGCTGGAAGCTTGGGGGTGTTGGGAGGAGGCCAGGCCTGGCTGGCTCAGTCCTATGTCTGGGACACAGTAGGCAGAGCCAGAGGCCGGTCCCCACGGAGGCTCAGAAGAACGGTGTGCAGGAGCGGGTGTGGGCGCAGTCCAGGCTGCCGGCAGGAGGTGATGGCGCGCTCAGCAGCAGCTAGCGGCGCTGCGTTTCACGTGGCACGGTTTGCAGAAGAGGTGGTCGTTGAGGGGGTAGCAGCCTTGGTCCGTGGGTTCCACAGACAGGAGGACACTGCAGTCCTGGGAAAACCAAGGTGGGTGCGGGATGAGCATGCCCATGCTGCTGGCATGGAGCCTGCTGGGAGGGACTTGCTGGGCGACTGAGGGGTATACGGACACACAAGCGCCCAGCCACGGGCTGGAGCGGCTCCTCGTCTGTCCTCTGGCTCTCCCACCCAGCAGCTACATCAAGATTTATTTATTTTTATTTGAAAGGTAGAATTACACAAGAAGGTAAACAGAACTCATCCATTCATTGATTGACTTCCTAAACAGCCACAATGGCCAAGGCTGGGCTGGGCCAAAGTGAGGAGCCAAGCGCTTCCTCCAGGTCTCCCACATGAATGGCAAGGGCCCAAGCACCTGAGCCAGCCTCTGCCATTCGCAGGGTCAGAAGTGGAACACCTGGGCTTTGAACCCACATCTGTATGGGATGCCGGTGTCTCAGGCAGGGGCTTTAACTGCTATGCCACGGTGTTGCTGTTCCCACCCCCAAATTCTCCATCACTGGAGGATTTCAGGGACAGGGAGGAAGTTAGGGCCCAAACTTGATCCATTTTCCCACCTTGCCATCCTCTCTGCCATGGGGCATACCCACAGGGCACACCCACGGGGCACAATTTGTGTCTAGAGACCCAAGCAAGGCTGTTACCTTTTGCTTTGCAAGGATCCAGTCACAGGGACCTGTCGCTGCAGAGTTAACTTTGGGGTCACAGTGGGCCTCCCTGCCTCAGGCCAAGGTCTGATTTGCATCTTGCAGGCCCAGCCAGGAGGGCATCCCCTGCTCCGCCCTGGGTCTCCACCCTGGGTCTCCACACTGGATCTGGGCACTTGAGGAAGATGTGATGACAAACATAACGTGCCCAGGGGGCACATGCAAGGGTTGGGAACACTTTCCCCATCTTGAACAGGAATGCTTTGCAAGAATGTCACCGGGGGGCCTGAATTGTGGTGTAGTGGGTTAATGCCTCTGCTGGCAATGCTGGCCTCTCCTATCGACACTGCTTTGTTCCCAGCTCTATTTTCAACCCAGTTCCCTGTTAGTGCTCCTGGAAAAAGCTGCAAAGCACGACCCAAGTGCTTGAGCCCCTGCACCCATGTGGGAGACACAGAAGCTCCTGGCTCCTGGCTTCAGCCCAGCCCCGCCTCAGCCACTGTGGCCATTTGGGGAGTGAAGCTGTGGGTGGCTGAGTGAGGCTTTCTCTGTCTCTCCCTCTCTCCATCACTCTGCCTGTCACAAAAATAAAAGCCACCTTTCCCCTCTGACAGGGCAGCACCCTTACCTTGGTCTAAGCTGCTGGTTCAAGAGCTTCAATGTTAAAATGGAACTGCAGCGGCCTCAGTCAAGGCCGAGGGGGTCGGGGAGTGGGGCTTACTGACTCCTCAGCCAGCCCAGGAGCTTATCACGGCCAAGCTAGACCTAAGAGCCTGCAGTTTCCAGGGGACCTTGGATTCCAGCAAGGCCAACCATGGGGCGTGCTGCCCTGGCTGTGCCCAGTGACACCAGTCACAAACACCCAGGACTTCCAGTGCCACTGACACCTGCAAAAGCCGTCACCTTTATCCCCCTGACTAGAGGTGACTAGAGGTTTCCCTGGCCAGGGAAAGGGGTAGCTGAGGACTTGGGGTGCCTCTCCAGCAGCTCTGACAACTGGAACCCAGGAAATTCCTCGGGTGGACGCTCGCAGTGGGCTGGGCAGCTGTGGTCAGGATCCCCCTTGGGGCGCCCACAGCCACACTGCAATGTCTGGGTTTGCAGCCCCAGTTCCACTTCCTATCCCAGCGTCCTGCTGACATTCAGCCCTGGGAGGCAATGCAGGCTGCTTCAAGAATTAAGTACCTAGGGGTCCAGCACGGTAGCCTAGTGGTTAAAGTCCTTGCCTTGCATACGCTGGGATCTCATATGGGCACCAGTTCTAATCCTGTCAGCCCCACTCTCCATCCAGCTCCCTGCTTGTGGCCTGAGAAAGCAGTGGAGGATGGTCAAAGCCTTGGACCCTGCACCTGCGTGGGAGATCCGGAAGAAGCTCCTGGCTCCTGGCTTCGGATTGGCTCAGCTGCGGCCATTGTGGTCACTTGGAGAATGAATCAGTGGATGGAAGATCTTCCTCTCTGTCTCTGCTCCTCTCTGTATATCTGACTTTCCAATAAAAATAAATAAATCTTGAAAAAAAATAAAAGAATTGAGTGCCCAGCGTGTGGCCCTGGTCCAGCCCCGTGCCCATCACTGTAGGCATGAGGGGCCAGTGGTAAATGAGGACGCGCGCTCTCTCTGCCTCTCAAATTGAAATAATAAAGAACTTCAAGATGGTGACAGAACTGCACACGGTCCTCAGACCCCTTCAGCTGGGGGCCCTGGGGGGCGAGTCCCTGGTTCCTTGACATGCAATCTCCTACTCTGGTCCCCAAGGACCCTCCCCACATCAGCCCGGTCCCTTCTCTCTGGCCACGAGCACGGTGTTCCGTGACCACATCCTCCGGCTGCACGCTCCACGCATGCCCACAGTTCCCACTTGGAACAAGCCTCAGGGGCCGCAGGCGTGTTCCTTCCATAGACCCTCCCACTGTGTTGACATCATTCCCCTCTCTCAATATCTGGCAAACTCCTACCCATCCCACAAAACCCAGGTTCAGTAGAGGCCTCTGCTTGCACCTGCCCGGGTAATTCCAGCCCATCCTCTCTGCCCCGAGCCCACTCGTGCACTCAGACAGAACACCATTGTTTGGGTCTCTTTCTGCTGGGACAGCAACCCCGCTCTGCCCCACAGGGTTCAGCCACTCTAGCGCTGTCAATCTCAGCACCCAGAGCCACGCCTCCACCTCCGGTCAGTGCCGGGCCACACTTCCATGTCCAGCTTCCGGTTACTGTGCACCCTGGTAGGCAGCAGCTGATGGTCCAAGCACTTTGAGCCCCTGCCGCCCGCAAGGGAGATTCAGACGGGGCTCCAGGTCCTGACTTCGGCCTGGCCCAGCCCTGGTTGTTGTGGGGAGTTAGCCAGGAGCTTCTTCCAGGTCTCCCATGTGGGCGCAAGGGGCCAAGGCCTTGAACTATCCTCTGCTGCTTTTTCAGTCCATAAACACTGCTTTCTCAGGTCACGGCAGAGAGCTGGGTCAGAAGTGGAGCGGCTGGGACTCAAACTGGTGCCCAAATGGGATGCCGTCAGCACAGGTGGAAGCTTAGCCTACTATGCTACGGCACTGGCACCAAAGACAACATCTTTGTAATTACTTCCCTTCTTTGCTGTCTCTGCCACTGGGCAAGGACAGGACAGCAGTGCCCCATGCAGGTTTGTGACAGAACCAAGCATGGTCCTCAGACCCCTTCTGATGGGGGCCCTGGGGGGCGAGTCCCTGGCCTTACCCAGCCCGTCTCCACAGGGCTCGAGTGGTGATGGGCTGTCAACGAGCTACTGGGCTCCACTTACCTCGCAGCGGTAGCAGTTTTCATGGAAGTTCCTTCCCATGCACTCGATTTTGAAGGCGTCCTTCCCATCCCGAGGGATGATGGGACTCTCACAGATGCTGCACATGGGGGCGAATTTCCTAAGGGGAGAGGAACCCGTGCTGGGTAGGGATCAGAGCCGACCGCAGACAGGAGCGGTCAGAGGGAGGCTGACCCAAGGGCACCCCACCCAGAGCTATTCCAAGCTCCAGCGCTGGGACCGCATCTGAGGCTGCAACCACAGGCCTCTCCCTGGTGGGAGTCGCCAGGGAAAGCACGTGAGGAGACCTGGCTGCCCAGGGTGCAATTAGCTGGAGGCAGGACAGGCCGGGCTGCGTCTGAACTTCAGGCATGCTCACCGGCCTCAGCCTCTCACTGGTTTCCAATTATAGCCACGGCTTCCTTTCCTCTGTTTAGCCCTTTTCCTTTTTAAATGGACACACCTGTTGCTTGCCACAGATGGTGATAACTTAGGAGCAGGGACCGAGGCTCGTGGGCACTTGTGTCCTTTCGGCCCGGTCCAGCTCCATGGTCCAGGGCTGGGAGATCCCCAGGGCTGCTGTTGTCTTGGTTTCCATATTTGATAAATAGGAACTCTTCTGGTACCCGCAGCACAGTTTGGAGGGTCAGATGCGGTAACTACAGTGCGCAGCCCAGCACAAGGCAGGTGCCAGCAGGTGCACAGCCCAGCGTCAGGCGCGCAGAACAGGAGGTTCTGAGACTGAGCCTTCTGTTCTACCCTAGTCCCTCCCTGTCCTCCCCTCTGCCCAAGACAGGCATGTAGCTCATACCTGTAGAAGTCATCCAGGCAGTACACCTCATTCTGGCCATCCAGGGCAAAGCTCTCGTCCCCGATGCACCTGGCGCAGGCCACACAGGTGAAGCACGGCGGGTGGAAGGCCTGGCCCAGTGCCCTGATGATGTGGTCCCGGACCACCTCGCCACACTTGCCGCACTTCTCCAGGGTGTCCTGTGACAGGGGGCCGCCGTCTCAGAGCCAACACAAAGGTCTCCAGGACCAGCTACTCACGGGGTCGCAAGGAGGACATGCCCCTGGCCTGGAACATCCGGCCCAGACCCCTCTGCTGTGTCCTTCTTGGCTACCAGACAAGCCCTCTGCACAAAGCCACCCCTGCCCTGGCTGTTACCGGATGTCTGAGGCCAGCATGGGCCAGCTCCCCTAGGGAACTGGAGGCTCTGACATCACAGCCAGGAAGAGCAACTCCCAGGGAAAGCGACGCGCCTCTGCCTTAGACTCATCATAAGGCTGCTTGACAGCTCAGGGACAAGTCCCGGGTTCAGCCTTAGGAATAACGGTCAGGCCCCTTGATCACACATTTCCAGACACTAACTTCCTCTGTGGTCTCACTTCCTGCTTTGACCATCTTTCTGTTTGCATTTTTTGTTTTTACTGTAGGCTAGGACAATGCTTTTCTTTCTTCTTCTTTAAGATTTATTTATTTGGAGCCCGGCACAGTAGCCTGGTGGCTAAAGTCCTCGCCTTGCACACTAAGGATCTCATATGGGTGCCGGTTCTAATCCTGGCAGCCCCACTTCCCATCCAGCTCCCTGCTCATGGCCTGGGAAAGCAGTCCAGGACGGCCCAAAGCCTTGGGATCCTGTACCTGTATGGGAGTGGGAGACCCAGAAGAAGCTCCTGGCTCCTAGCTTCGGATTGGCTCAGCTCCAGCCATTGTGCTCACTTGGGGAGTGAGTCATTGGATGGAAGATTTTCCTCTCTGTCTCTCCTCCATTCTGTATATTTGCCTTTCCAATAAAAATAAAATAAACCTTTTTTTAAAAAAAAAAATTATTTGAAAGAGTTACAGAGAGGCTGGAGCAGAGAGAAAGATTATGCGTTAGCTGGTTCACTCGTCAAATGATTCCAAGGGCAGGGCTGGCTGAGCCGGACTGAAGCCAGAAGCCAGGAACCTCAGCTAGTGCTGTCAGGTGGGTGCAGAGGCCCAAGGGCTGGGACCATCTTCTGCTTGCTTTCCAGGCCACAAGCAGGGAGCCGGATGGGAAGTGCAGCAGCCAGGGCTTGAACAGGTGCTCAAAAGGGAGGCCAGCCCTGCCTGCAGCATCTTTACCCACAATGTCACAGCACTGGCCTTCCATTTGGATTTATTTTTTGTTGTTGTTCCACCCACCTACCACTATCTATCTGTTTTATATCTCATAGCAGCATATGCATTATCTTAAAATTTATTTTATGATGGCAAGAACATTTAATACATTTGTACAATATGAAGTGTACAATATTATTGTTGGCTCCAGGTATGCGGGTTTTTTTTTTAGTTAATTTTTTTTTTAATTTCTTCACTTATTTGAAAAGCAGAGTTACAAGGGGAGAGAGAGAGCATCCATGTGCTGGTTCACTGCCCAAATGCCCTCAAAATGCAGGGCTGAACCAGCAAAAGCCAGGTACCCAGAACTGCATCCTAGTCTCCCAGGAGGTGGCAGGGCTCGGCTGCCTCAGCCATCACCTTCGGCCTCCCAGCTGGTGCGTTAGTAGGAAGCTGAGGAGGTGGGCCTTAAACCAAGCACTTGGGGGCCAGTGCTGTGGCATAATGGGTAAATCCACCGCCTGCATCCTGTCTGGGCACCAGTTGAGTCCCAAGTGCTCCACTTGTGATCCAGCGCCCTGCTAATGCCCTTGGGAAAGCAGCAGAAGATGGCCCATGTGCTTGTGCACCTGCACCCATGTGTGAGTCCTAGAGAAACTCCTGCCACCTCAGAACACTGGAGCACAGGTTACAGCTGAAGGACTACGTTATTGTAAACTACAGGGGGCAGCGGGCAGGGGAGGGGAGCCGGGGGAAGAGAGATTTAAAAAAAAAAAAAGGAATACCCTCTTCCTGGCTTTGGATCGGCCCAGCCCCAGTTACTGCTGCATTGGGGGTGTGAACCAAAAGGTGGAAGATTCTCTCTCTTTCCCCCCCTCTCCCCCTCCCTCTCTGGGACTCTGTCTTATAAATAAATAAATAAAGGCCAGTGTGGTGGCGCAGTGGCTAAAGTCCTTGCCTTGTACACGCCAGCATCCCATATGGGCGCTGGTTCTAATCCCGGCAGCCCTGCTTCCCATCCAGCTCCCTGCTCATGGCCTGGGAAAGCAGTCAAGGACGGCCCAAAGCCTTGGGACCCTGAACCCGTGTGGGAGACCTAAAATAAGTTCCTGACTTCTGGCTTCAGATCGGCTCAGCTCTGGTCACTTGGCCGTTTGGGGCGTGAGCTAGCAGATTATCTTTCTCTCTGTAAATCTGTCTTTCCAATAAAATGAAACAAATCTTAAAAATAATAGAGAGTGTGATTAGTGCGGCCTCCTCCCCCACACCTGCTCTCTTCCCCTTCCGGCTGTGCACCTGCCAGGGAGAGGGCAGCCTCTCCTGCCCAGCACACTGCTGGAGCCCCCTCCTTGCCAACATCCCACCCTAGCCTGGCTCCAGGGGTCAGAGGTGAAGGGGTGGGAAGGACCTGGATCCTCCCACAGTGCACTGAAGCAGTGATGGGATCATTCTGAGGATTCTGGATGGTGCAGACACCAATCAAGCTACCTTCTCAGGAAGGCAGGTTTCAAACCTGCGAATGGCCAGGTGTGACCCATTTGTGTCATACCCAGGTGACATGGCTGCAGGTGGTCTGGCCACCCTCCTGAGGGCATCACCCACATCCCATTTGAGTCAGCAGTGTAACACACTGGCATGGAAACCAGCTCTGGGGGGCTGCATTCCATCCCCAGAAGTGGCACTAAGCTAGAGCCAAGGACCCGTGGGGTCTGAGGAAGAATTGCAGCCAATTTCCTTGGAACTGAGTGAGGCCCCCAAGGTCTTCAAGTTCAGATGCTGGCACTGGCACTGCAAGGGCCTCCGCAGGGGTCCTGGGTTCCTCAGGGCGGGTCCTGAATGCAGCTACTGCACAGTTCCTACAGAGCGAGGTGGGTGGGCGAAGGGGGCAGCTGGACACTCGCACCCCACGTCACAGCCTCTGGGTCGGAGTGCCTGCTCCACCTCTGATGGAGCATCCTGTCGATTCGCACTCCAGGCAGCAGCAGGTGGCGGTTCAAGAGCCTGGGGTGCGGCCCTGTCCACGGGACACCTGAAGTGACAGCTGGGCTTTAGCACTGGCCTGTCTCACCTCAGCGGTGGCAGGCCTGTGGTGAGCTCTCTCACCCTCGCTCTCTCTCTGCTTTTCAAAATGTTAATTCATTCACTAGAATGGCGTGTGTGTGGAAAGGCAGAGGATACTCTGTCTCAGAGGTGGCATCGTGCTCACTGCTGGCTGCCAAGGTCGAGGCCAAGACCCCAGCCAGATGCCCGGTGAGTTCCTGGAACAGCCAAGGGCAGGAGTTCGGCTTGGGAACCCCCAGCGGGCGTGCACTCCCTTGCTTTTGACTTGCAGCCTATGGAACTTGAGAAAATTGGTGTGTGTTTTTGAAGTCCCCACGAATGTGCCAATTTGTCACAGCCACCACAGGAAACTTGGCTGTATTCCTCCTTGAGCCTCAACCTTCTCCTCTGTGAAGTGGGTCAGCACTACCTACCTTCCAGGAATGTTACAGGGAAGGAAACAACACAGCGTCTTCCGCATGCCCAGGCCAGCGCCTGGCACCCAGTTACCTGGTAGCAGGCCTCACAGAGGGGCCGGCCATCCTTCTGGTAGAAGCTCTGGCCGGCCAGCTGGCGGCGGCAGGTGCGGCACGTAAAGCACTGGGCATGGTACTGTCTTTTCATGGCCTCCACGGCCAGCTCCCGGGGAGACACGGTCTTGTGGCAGAAAGCACAGATGTCTGTGGCAGAAGAGACACGGGGTGTCACCAGAATGTGGCTGCAGGGCCCAGAACTTGGTCTTGACCCACCCCCCCCAAAGCAGGGGAGGGTCAGAAGATACATTATAAAGGACTGTGAACGGCCTTGGGAGATGTGGTGGCAGGAGAGATGGGGTGTCATCTTCGGGGCTCTGCAGTGCCACATGCACCCACAAAACCCAAGGCGCACCCAAGGTCTCAAGGTGTGACTCAGGAAAAGGCAAAAATCTTCCCAGCCAGGACACGCAGGCCGGAAGCCAGCAGGGGAAGGCCCAGTGCAGCTGCCTACATAACATTCAAGTATCCGTGGATGGTGATGAAATGCACCATGGCAATGACGAGCTCACAAGGGCATTCGCAAAGCGCCTGCAGGCCGAAATACTCTCTCCACCCCTGGGAGACAGAGCTGTGTTCACGTAGGCCCCACTGGCATACCGAAGTTGCAAATTCACAATGGCACCTGCCCGTTTCTATTCTAGGAAACCATGTCAGATATATTTGCATGTGGGTAAAATGACGGGAGAGCAGGTTGAGCCCTCCCCGCACTGATTTATACCACAAGGCCGCCAACGGCTCAGCCACTTCCACAGCCCTGAGCTGCCCAGGGAAGGAAAGCCAAGGGCACGGTGGCCCAGCTTACTCCACGGGCTGGTGCGTCTCATCAAAGCCATCTCCAACATTCCAAAACCCATGACACTGCAATAGAGAAACTCCACACTTGACCTCACCGGATGAGTCACTGTCAGACGGCAGGTGGGAGTGTGCATGAAGCATAATGGATTTCAGGTGGAGGCTTGGGTGCCCTCCCCAAAATACCTCATTATGCATATGCAAATATCCCCAACTCCCCAATTGAAACCCCTTTCTGCTGGTTCCAAGTCTCCTGAAACAGTGCGCTGCCAGGAGGGACGGGTAGGTGACCCAGGGCTCCGTTTGCTGAGGCGGACAGAACTCTGGATGCACACGACCTTGGGAGAAGCAGCCCCCCAGGGAGGGCCCTGGGTGCCTCTTGCATGCTTTTAGTCTTGCATTGTGCAAGGGCAGTAGGACGTGAAAGAGTCGTGGGAAAAAATTCAAGGCATTTGTGCTATCATAGCAAACCGCATGGATTAACGCCGAAGTGGGGTTAGTCATAAAGGAAAGAAGGTTCTGGTGACAAAAATTAAATGTAATGTGCAGCTCAAGGACAGGCGCTGGGACAGGCTGCGGGGAATTCTGCTAATCCCGGGCTAGTCCCCACGAGTGCTCCTGGGGGTTACTCTGGGATGCTCCTGGCTGTGGGCCCTTACCTGTGGACGCCTCTCTCTCAGGGAGGCTAGTCGGCTCTTCCGGAGGAGGGGGCAGCTCCTCTTCTGAGGGCCTGAGCTGACCCGGGAATCCCTCCACCACAGCCTGAGGGGACACAAGGGGGGTTATCAGAAGGGACCCCACACAACCCTTCCAAGCGCATCCTAGTGGTACCGGACACGATCAGTCCCATTAGATAGATGGGATAACTGAGGCCTGGGGGGCAAGCCCCTGGCCACTCTGCACTTCTCAGGCATTCGCCAGACTCCAGCCCTGGGCCTGGGACTTGCCCGTCTTTCTGGGAAGCGCAGAAGGCTAGAAAAGCATTTGTAGTCCACAACACGAAGGACTAGGCCTACACTCAGGGAAATGGCTTCCTGGGGGCCAAGCGGGATCCTGGGCAGAGGGCGGCGCAAGGCAGTGAGAGCAGGAAGGACCAGCCCATTGCCCAACTTCATCCTTCAGAGACCCAGGAGCCTCAGCCCCGTCCACCCTATCCCACCAGCCCAGGGGATGCAGGGAGGTACCTGTGGTGGGGGTGGGGGCAGGTGCAGCTGTTCTAAGTCTGAAATGAGGGATGCCCCCATTGGGGCGGGGGACTCCTCCTCAGGAGGAGGCAGGTACGCAGGAGGGGGTGGCGGCGGTGGCAGGGGGAGGTCCAGGTCGGCCACAGTGTCCTCACCGTCCAGGGCCGGAGGAGGCGGAGGGCACCCTGCAAGCGGAAGGGTGCAAAGGGTCGGCCAGGGTCTCTACTGGTACGCAGAGGAGGCCCCTTACCAGCCAGACCCAGGCCCGTCTCTGACTCTGCACCGACATCTGGTTAAAGACACGTTCATGGGATTGACATTATGGTACAGCAGGTAAAACTGTCAAGCAATGCTGGCATCCCATGTGGACACTGCTTCAAGTCTCGACTACTCTACTTCCCATCCGGCTCCCTCTCAACGTGCCTGGGGAGGCATCAGAAGAAGGCCCAAGGCCTAGGGTCTCTGTGCCCATGTGAGACATCTGAATATAGTTCTAGGCTCCAGATTACAGCCTGTTCCAGTGCCAGGCCACTGCAGCCATTTGGGAAATGAACCAGCAAATGGAAGACCTCTCTCTTTATCTCTCAATCCCTCTCTAAGTCTCATTTTCAGTTAAAGATTTGTTTGTTTCACTCCCTCAAATGGCCCCTACGCCTGTGGATGAGCTAGGGCAAAGCCAGGAGCCCAGAGCTTCTTTTGGGTCTCCCATGAGGGTGGCAGGGACCCAAGCACTTGGGCCACCCTCTCCTGCCTTCCTGGGCACATTAGCACGGAGCTGTGTGGGAACTGAAACAGCTGGAACAGGAACTAGGCTCCATATGGGATGGGAAAGGGGCACCAAGCACTCAGGGGTAAGTGATAACCGAGTTGATGGACAGGCAGTGCACCTGCCAGGGCCAAATATAGGAAGGAACCGTGCGGGCTTCCACAACACCATCTCCTGCCAGAACTGCCAGGTCCTGGGGACACACAGGCTCAGTGCAGCCCTGGCTAGCAGCACCTGCCATATATGGGAACTTGTTTGCAATGCACCTTCCTGACTCCGGAGGCCACTAGCCTCTGGAGAGCTGGGACCTGCAGATGCCCTCCAGGGACACAGGCAGGAAACTGGGAGCATTAGGTGAAAGGTCACAGGGATACTCTAGGGAGGGGTTAGGCTGCCACTGCCAGGAGCCAGGAACTGCACTCAGCAGACCTCAGGGGTCTCCTGGTCCCTCTGACACTACCGAGAGTGATATGGCACCACCTATGTCCTGTTCTTACTGCCCCCCCATCCCCAAAGCAGCAAGCCACAAAGATCCACCCCAATCCAACCACATTCCAAAGCTCCACTCAAGATGAATGTGGGCAGCACGAGGGTGAAGGGAACTAGAGGACAAGAAGAGAAGGGACAAGTCTCGGGCATGACAAGAAACCCTGCGGAACACACTCAGCAATGAGTCAAGGGGAGGGGAGGGATCGGGGGCGTGTCTCTATTACAGAGAAAGAATGACCACTGAGAGCAAGCACATTCATGGAGCCAGGGCTGGGGCACAGTGAGTGAAGCACCTGCCTGGGACACTGATACATGAGACCAGTCTGAACCCTGGCTGCTCTGCTTCTGATCCAACTCCCTGCTAATGGACCTGGGACAGCAGGAGAGGATGCCCCAAGTGCCTGGGCTCCTGCAGCCACCCAGGACATCCTGACGGAATTCCAGGATCACCACTTCAGCCTGGGCCCGCCTTAGGTATTGCACTCCGGGTACTGTGTAGAGAGTCAACCAGCCAGAGTGTGTGTGGGGGGCGGTGGGTAGAGAGCTCTTTGCTCTGGTTTCCCAGCCACATTAGTGGGGAGCTTGTTGGCACAGCAGCTGCGACTTGAACCAGCACTCCAGTGTGAGATGCTGGTGTCACAGGTGCAGCTTCAACTGCTGCCCCCAAATCAACATTCTGAAAACTGATTTTTAGGGCTGGTGCCCGTAGCATTTCAGGTTAAGCCTCTGTCTGCGGTGCCAGGTTCCTATCCTGGAGTGTGGGTTCAAGTCCCCGCTGCCTCTTTCTCATCCAGCTTCCTGCTAGTGTGCCTGGAAAGGCAGCAGAGGATAGCCCAGATCCTTGAGCCCTGTGCCCATGTGGGAAACCTGGAAGAAGCTCCTGGCTCGTGGCTGGAGACCAGTCCAGCTCCAGCAGTTGTGCTATTTGGAAAGTGAACCAGCAGATGTGAGATCTCTCTGTCTCTCCTTCTCTTGTTAAAAAATAAATCTTTCTTTAAAATGTTATGATTATATGTTGAAATAATAGTTTAGTAAATGAGGTTCCATAATGTTTAACATTAAAATCAATACCCCCTAATTTTCTTTGACTAAACAATGGTGAGTGGTGTTCTATTTTTCATTGAACAGCATCAGTGCAGTCCTTATCTGGACCCTAATTCAAAGGGCTCACCCTCTCATATAATTCTTCTGGTTTTGTAGCTAAGGAAAAGCTAAACATCTTCCTGAACTGACAGGCAGGGGTGGTGTGTGGCATGGGTGCAGGTTAAGTGCCACCCAAGCATGGTCTGAGTTGCAGCTGCTTTGCCAATCATCTGGTCCCTGCCAGCACACCCTGGGAGCAGCACAGGTTGGGTAAAGTACTCGAGCCCCTGGCACCCACAGATGAGGCCTGGATGGAGCTCCGGGCTCCTGGCTTCAGCCTGGCCCGGTCCTGGCTATTGTGGGAATCTGGGTCAGTGAATGAACCAGTGTCTGTCACTCTGCCATTCTGTACATGAAAAAGACAAAGACAAAAGCAAACACCGGCTGCGGGAGGGCCTCTGGCCTCGCGGCGGCGACACACACTAAGATGCCTTCTGCCTGTCCCGGGGTTCCCAGGTGGCAGTCCCACGCGTGTTCCTGACTCCACTTCCTGCAGATGTGCACCCGAGAGGCAACGCTGACGGCACAGGGGGCTGGACCCCAGCCATCCGTGTGGCCGACTGGGACTGCGTTCCCAGCTCCCAGCCTTGGCCAGGCTGGCTGCCGGTCAGTCTCTAGGGAGGGACCGGGTGACGAGAGCTCTGTCTCCCAAGCGAGTCAGCACAGCAGACAAAGGCGCCACATTCATCCCGCTACAGTCCGACAGCTGAAAGGCTGAGCCAAGCACCGAGGACCAACTGTGCGCGGAGTATCAGATAGCCCTCAGGCAGTCCCGGTCACCTCGCTGGGCACCGTGGGCGCGTACGACAGTGGCTTCCAGTCAAAGACGCACCTCGGCAAACGCGGTGCAGCAATGCCAGCGGCATTAGGAACACTTCTCTCACACACAGGAACAGACACAGGCAAACCCAGGCAAGTCCTGGGATCAGACATGGGTACACGTGGTTCTTCCTTTGCCTTCACGTCTGTGTGTGTCTAGAAGCTTCCTAAGGCCACACACGCATGTGCCTGGAGAGCACACACACCACCACATGTGTGGGCACATGTGCATCACACATGTGTAGGACACATACCAGCTCATGCATGTGCACACCCTTCACACACAGCAGCACATGCATACACACACCACACACACAGCTCCCTCAGCTCCTGTCTCAGCACCGATGTCTTTCCTCTGTGCCAGAACCAGAACATCCCACTGCAAGCCCTGTGGGCTCCTTGGGATCGAGTCCCTCCAGCCCCAGGCTGAGCGAGTGCTACTCACGGCACTCCAAGAACAGGCACGGGGGCACGCCACAGCCACCCAAGAGACACAGGAAAAGCAGATGGAAAGTTCCAGAGGCCTGGGAGTCCACAGACCAGGGCTCCTGCTGCATTCCCAGTGGGGATCCCTCTCCAGGAGGGCATCTGATTTCTCACGCACTCAGCAAAGACACTACTGCGCCGCCTCCGAGGGCCAAGGGGCCGCAGAGATGGGAAGCAGGTGCCATGTTCACCTGGGGAGGGAGGCTTGTTCAAGAGCAGACGGCTGGTCCTCTCCCCACCTTCACCCTCCAGCTCAGGCAGTGCTGACACAGCTGCCCACGGGGCCACGCTCTGAGACCGCCTTTGATGACCATGGTGTGATCACAACATGTACACATGTATAGAAATGGCAGAATCATCCATAAACATGCACATTACGCCACTTACACGTCTTTAAATTTAAAAAACACGGGAGCCAGTGTTGTGAAGCAGTCAGCTTTAGGGGCGTGCCAATCGAGTGCCCAGCTGTCTGCTTCTGTTCCAGCTCCCCGCTATCGCGCCTAGGAAGGTGGCAGAGGCTGACTCCAGTGTCTGAATCCCTGCGCCCACGCGGCAGACCCGAGTGGAGCTCCACGCTCCCGAGATCAGCCTGGACCAGTCCCAGAACTTGTGACCACTTGGGGATCAAACCAAGAGAAACATCAACCTCTCCCCCACAGCCCGGTATAACTCTACCTTTCAAACAAAGATCTTAAAAATAGTACTAAAAAAAGATAAAAATATATAGTTATCCAGGGGTGGTGCCCATAGCACAGCATCAGCATAACTCAGAAAGATGGAAAGGCAAGTTTCTGGGTCCCGGTTGCCACAGACCTGCTGAATCAGAATGGACGGGCGGGCGGGCCAGTCGCTGTGCTGGCACAAGCCCGGGCTGCGGATGAGGTTCTGGCAAGAGCTGGGCTGCAGGGGAGCTCATGAGTCAGGAGCCAGAAGGCACCCAGCCTCCCCGACTCCCAGCTCCCCCTGCCCGCCCGTGACCCTAGAAGGGTGCTGGGAGGATGGGTAAGGCATTCAGGAGGGAAGCAAGTGAGGGGATGGGAGGCCACGGGGGCAGCGCGGGGACCCTCAAGTCAGGCAGGACGATTCTTTGTGTCCAGGTGGCCATGAGCCGGAGGAGGGAGGACAGTGGGTTTTTTTGTTTTGTATGGTTTTACCAAGTCACGCAGAGGAAAGCCGACTTGGGAGTTTAGGAATGCGAAGGAGGCGGGGCGTGTGTGCAGAGCGGAGATGGGAGGGGTGAAGGCAAGAGTCAGTGAGAGGGCCAGGGAAAGCTCAGATCCACGGATTCGTGCCCCACACAGCTGCAACGGCCACAGCTGGGCCAGGCCAACACCTCCTGTGGGTGCAGGGGCCCAAACACTTGAGCCATCTGCTGCCCTGCAAGGTGCACGAGTAGGTAGCTGGATCAGAAGAGGAACAGTCAGGTTATGAACAGGCAACCATATGGGATGCCAGTGCCACAGGCAGCAGCTTTACCAGCTATGCCACAGCACACACAAGCTGGGACTTTTTCCAGGCTAAGGCGGCCGACAGAGGACCGGCCTCCAGGGTCTGAAGGCGGCCAGGCTTCATGTTCATGGTCAGGAGGAAGCTGCTCAGCTGGAGCCGACCTGGCTCCAGTGAGACCGTGACTGCTCAGGCTCTGTGCGAGGGAAGTGGACGTGGCAGCTAGCACCTGCCTCCACCAACACCAGGTAACATCTGGGCAGTGTGCCCATGTGGGTAGCTAAGCTACAGTTCCTGGGCAACCTCCAGCACCCCAACGGGGCACACGATTTTCCACGCACTCGCACATGCCCGGGTCCCAGGCAGCTCAGTCTTGTTCTCCCATGGAAGTGTGCCCGCAGGGGTCGGGGCTCTCGGGATGGGAGGGGAGGAAGAGAGGAAGGGAGGAGGACTGGGGAGCTGCTCTGAGGCTCCTCTCCGCCCTCACTCCTGACCTGTTGGGCTGTCTGACACAGGGTGGGGTGTGGGGACTTCCTACTGGTGTGTGGGGGGGTTTCCATGGTGATGGACAGACAGGCCAGCCCCAGGCTTACTCTGTGATGGCTGGACATCTGTCCAGATGCCCAGCTGGGCCAGCCTCGGGACCTCCTTCCAGCAGGTGCTTGCCCCAGGGGTCTGGCTGTCACCCTGTCCTTGTTCACCAAGCCTTATAGCTGAGCCCTCCCAGGCAGTGACAGAAACCAAGGACAGGAGGGCTCTCTGTTACCAAGGCAACAGGGCTGGCCCACCCCAACTGTCAGGCAGAAGAAGGGTCGCAGGAAGCTTTTCCCCTCTCTGCCTGGGAAGGTGCATCACACCCAGGGTGCCAGTTCCAGAGGGAGACTAAAGCCCCCTAACAGCCATTCCACCTTCCAGATCCTTCCCCTGGCTGCTGCCCCAGGCCCTTTGCACTGCCATGCAGACTGCAGCTGCAAGCTCACCTCCTCCAGGTCAGGTCTCCTCCATAAAAAGTTTTACCTCTTCACCAGGCCACACCTGAGTCCACCTGACACTACAGATCTCAGCCACTTTCTCCTCTGCTTTGATTTTACTTTGAAGGCAGACAGACAAATGCAGAGAGATTTTCCCAACCGCTGGCTCACTTCCCAAATGCCTGCAACAGCTTGGGCTGAGTCAGCATAGAGCCAACTCCATCCGGGTCTCCCACGTGGCTGGCAGGACAGGGTATGCGTTAGCAGGAAGTTGAATGAGCAGTGGAAGAGTTGGGACTTGACCCAGGCACTCCCTTAAGAATGCGGGCAGCCGAAGCAGCAAGGTCAGGGCTGTCCCAAATGCCACCCCCTGTATACTGTGTTCACATTAATGCCGCTTCCTGTTCTCGGATGCAAGCTGCCTGCAGGCCAAAAACCTGGCCTCCCTTCTTGGCACACAGTAGGCACTCAATTGATGAATAAATCAGTGACGGCCCTGCCCTCCCTGCTTCTCTGACCCCTCACCTCCGTTGGCCAGCTGAGGAGGGCTGACAGGGCCGGGCCTCCCACTCGGGCCCGCCCCGGAGGCCTTCACAGGGGGCTCCCAAGAGCGGCCCTGCCGGGCCTCGCACGCCACTGGCCTCACTTCCTCAGCCACTGCGGCATGGCGGCGCGGGGGTACCAGAGTGATGAAGATGGAGGAGGCCACTCTCTTCTCGGGCTTGGAGGCCATGGCGCCGGTTCCCGGTGGGAGCTACGGGCAGAAAGCAGGTCAGACGCAGGCCGTGGTGAAGCACAGATCACGGGGCGCGTTCCCCCCCAGACGCGGGACGGGAACAGCTACCCTACCAGCTGACCCAGCCTGGCCAGAGAGCGTGTGCGAGGCGACCAGTGGGAGAGGGTAGGTGCCCACCCTACCTGGGGACCCGCCCATGTGCCGACTGCGCCTCCCGCAGCCCCGAGGGTGGGGAGCAAGGGGCAGCCGGGCGCCTCACCTGCAAGCAAGGATGAATTTACGCTGCACGCCTGTCCTGCGTGCGGTGCGATGCGCAGATCTGGCTTCCTGGCGGAGTCACCTCCCAGGCAAAGCACAGGACTTTGATTTTCTCTCAGGCCAGCTCTGCCCTGGGCGGGGGCAGTAAATGGGGGCACAGATGTTGAGAACATCACACCACACCCTCTCTACCTCGACTGCCTGAGTCCTCCTGCTATGGATTCATCCACTCCAAGGCCCGCTCCGTATCGGGAGAGAACCTGCGTGGGGGCTCTCAGGGGGCTTGGTAATCTCCAATCTCGCCTTCCGACCTTGGCCTTTCTAGAGCAGAAATCCACCTATGTTTTCTCTCCTCAAAAGCCTTCCGTGGCTCCCCACTGTCTCAGGAGAACAGCCCAACCCTCCTAGTCCCTCCTGGCTCCCCCTTTCCATGCTGCTTCCGCTCTTCCCTGCTTTTGGATATTCTTCCCACCTGTTCTTCCTCCCCTGCCCCTCGTCAGGGTGAATTTGAGCCTTCCCTTGGCAGCTCAGCTGAAACATCACCTCCTCTGGGAAGCCTCCCCGGATTCTTGGCCTTCTCCCTGAGGCCCTGTATGCAGGCACATGACAACGACAGCTAGTCGCAGGACACAGGGGCTCACCATCACACATCTGAACCCCTGCAGGCTCTCGAATCTGTCTTCGGCTGTCTGAACCCAGACCGCGGCGCCTATCTGGGGACAGGGTGAGCACCATTTTCCATCTCAAGGCCCCTAGCCGGAGGCGGAGCCTGAAGAGGGTGAGTCCTTCACATCTGGCTCAGCTGGACACCAACACTGCTCCCCAGATGTAACCTAGGGCTGGAGGGCTGTTGAATCCCCAGCCAAGCCCATCCCTCTCTCCCCCAACTCCTACCCCATCAGGGCCTGAGGTCCCTGCTGGGAGGGCAGTGGAGGGAGGAAGGGAGGGTGCCCGGAGCTAAACATGGCTCTTTATCTTTCTTTCCCATTCACTTGCCAGGATGTCATGGTCAGGCCACAAGTGTGTTAGGAGGAGAGCAAACAGGGACCCAGACATCGGACCCCAGGGATCCAGGCTGGGTAGACAGGGGTGCCCTCTCCCACCTGGGAGCTCAGGTGACCTGCACAAAGTCCCCTCTGGATCTCAAAGTGCCCTGGTCCCAGCGGGTTTCCTCTGGGGCAGCCGGAGACAACTCGCACACAGCAGTCCCTGTTAGGTGGGTGGCTGTCTAGCTGCAGCACGCAGTTCAGACTCCTGGGCGAAGCGCTGCCCTGGGAGACCAGTGCATCGGCACAGAGCCTGCGGATGTGTTCAAGGCGCTGTGGCCAGCCTGGGCTCTGGGCTCACGACCACAGGGGCTGCCCCCAGGTTCTGGGTTAGGAGTGCAAGAACCCACTTCTGTAAACCATGTTCAGGGTGCAGGTGGGCATTAAAGAAAGCCACAAGCTGCACCGTGGGTGCTCGTGCGGATGGCTGCGGGCCCGGAACCGAGGGCCACGTGTGCCTCTGGATGGTCCACTCAGTCACAGGGGATGGCCACAAGGCCCTGCACCCTGAACGAGATTAAACCACTTCCCCAGCCCCCTCTGTACCGCCCCCACCCCCACCGCCTCCCGGCACACGATTCTAACACAGCAAGTCCAGGGGTGCCCTGGTGCCCTTCTGGCCCCTCCACAGTCTGTCCTGATTCCTACGCCAGCCCTCTAGGAAGTTGGATCCCCTCCCCCCCCCCGCCCCCGTTTCTTCAGGGTTGATACCAGATGTCAGCCGCTGAGCAACACCCCCCCCCCACTCCCCTCCACTGCCCTCCCAGCAGGGACCTCAGGCCCTGAGGAGCCCCCCAGGCCGAGGTCACGCCTGGGGGGCAGCTCCCAGTTGGCCGCACCCAGGGGACCCTCTGCCCCCACCTTTCCTCCTGCAGAGGGCAAATCCGAGCTGCAGTTGGGTAAGCGGAGAAAGTGGGAACAAAGGGAAGGAAAGTCATTTCCTGTCAAGAGGAAGGAAGGAGGCTGGGATGCAGCCAGCAGCCACCAGCCAGCTGCAGCCAGGAGCCCAGGGCGGGGTGTCTGAGCCGGGAACTGGAGGGTCTCCCACCCCAGGGTCCCCTTTCCCACTCCTTACCCCCATCGCACTCCCTCTCCCAAAGGACTCTGGAACCACTTCTAAGCTCCCTGCTTTAGAATGGAGCAGGCAGAGCGGGGTTGAAAGGGCTGGACTCTAACTGCTGGAAGGGAGGGCGTGGGCACTTCACTCAGCCCCTCCCTCCCACAGGGACCTGATGCCTGCAATGAGTGCAATGGGGACCCAGCACCCCCTGTCCTTTCCCAGGCAAGCCCAGGAGGCTCCAAACAGGCTCCACACTGGGACCCACAGCCCTCCTGCTGGGCTGTCGGGGCTAGTCACTGACCCTCTCTGGGCCTGGCAACTTGCACAAAGTGAGTTTCGTGTGTGCCCTGGAAGGATACAGGAGGCGCAGGTCTTGGCCCCCACGGGGCGGGAGGGGGGGGGGGGGGGGACAGGGTGACTGGCTTTATAGCACCCCCACCCCAGGGGCAGGGGACCAGGACTGGGATCCTCCAAGGTGACTGCCCCAACCACTTACAGGGACCCTCGGATCGGCCAGAGTGGGACCAAGGCCAAGGCCAACCACCAGCTCACACCTTGGCCAACGCCCCGAGGACACCCTGGCAGCCACTGCCCGGCACCCCTGCTGCTCCGCACCGCCTCCTCACCCCTCTCCCCGTCTGGAGGGGCCCCAAGAGTTAAGAGAACCCGGCGCCCCCCCGCAGGCAGCCGGGCAGGCCCGTCCGGGTCACCGCGGGGCGCTGCTAGGGACTTAATTCGGTCCATGTGCGGGACGCGGGTCTCTTTGTGCGGGAGCTTCCGCCCCGCTCCCGGGCAGGGGGGACACGACCCCCGTCACTGCGTTGAGCCTTCTCCCGGCCCGGGGACCGACGACGGGCTGCGACACAACGACAGCGGCCACCCAGGTCCAGCAGCCCCCTGCGGGGAACGCCGGGGCTGGGGTCCCAAGCCGGGGGAGGGGGGCGGCGGCGCGGGCTCCGGCCCAGGGCCACCCGCGCTGTCACCTGCGCGTGGCCCGGGCAGGGACGGCAGGACGGGACCCCGCCAGCCTCCCCCGCGCCCGCTTACCTGGGCCCCACCGGACGCCCGAGCGAGCGCGCCGAGCCCCGAGCCCCGAGCGCCTGGCGCCTGGCGCCCGCCCCTCCCCGCCCCTCGGTCCCTCCGCCCCGCGCCCCGCGCCGCGTGACCATAAAAGGTGAGGCCGGGGGAGGGGGCCGGGCCCGCCCCGCGGAGGCCGCCCCTACCTGCCCCCCAACCTGCCCGGCCGCTCCCCGCGCCGCCCCCTCCTCTTCCCTTTGTTCCCTGGTACACTCCTCCCCGCCCCTCGGCCCCGAGCGCTGGAGTGGGCGTCCAGCCCCGCAGCCCGCTCTGGGCGTCCTGGGGCTGGGGGTGGGGGTGTGCTAAGTGACCCTTCACCCTCCGTCTCGCCCCCTGCCTGGGCCACCTAGGGTGTCAGAGACTGGGGTTACACCTGGGCTCGGCCCTGGCTTCTACAGAGTCCCCGGTGCAAGCGGACCTGAGCTCCATGACCGCCCACCAAGCCAGGGACCCTGGGCGAGACTTGCACTTCCTGAACCTCAAGTTTCCACGTCTGTAGAATGGAAGTGGCCACAGCCTGGTCCTCGAGGAAGCCCTGGGGATGTAAGTCCAAGAAAAGGAAAAAAAAAAAAATGACACGCAGGGGCAGGGGCTTGGCAGGTCATCCTCCCTGTCCTTTGGAATCACTGCCTGTCTGGATCCCTTCAGCCCTGGGCAGGTGGACCCCAACAACCTGCCCCTCCCTCACGGCCTCCCCTGGGGTCTGCAGCCTGGGTCCCCTGCTCTCCATCTCCCCTAACCCCCAACCTGGAGTCAATCCAACACGGAGGGGGCGGGGCCGCAGCTGAGCCCTGGGGGCTGGGACAGGGGGCTGGGGCTAGACAGTGCCTGGATGCCACTCCTGCTCCTCCGGGATGGGCCTTTCTGGTCCCTGGAGGCCTCAGGGACATTGCTGGAAAAGGAATCTGGGTCTGATTCAGAGGCAAACAGATTGTTCGTTTGATTAAAGCCACAATGGCGGCGGGGAGGGGCCCACCACCGCACGGGAGGTGTGGCAGCCCGCTGAGGCCCGGCTCTCTCCCACAGCTCCAGGGACTGCTCTAGGGGGTCCCAAGGTGGGGAGAGGAGGGCCTGGCCCCTCCGTGGCCTCCCCTTTTCTGCCCTTCAGCCCTGGTCCCCCATCCCTTGGGGCCCTGCTGCTGACAGGCTGTGCTTATAGGATCTGCCCAGGGGCCTTCCCCCCACACACACACCCTGGACACCAGGATAGAGAGTGCTGCCTTCACAACCCCCTACCCAGAGCCAAGTGGGCAGAGCTGGGTTCCCAGCACAAGTGCTCCCAACCCCCAACCCCACCCTGTGCCACCCTGCAAGGACACGGAAGCCAGGGCTCAGGACGGCCATAAGGGTCCAGACTTGGTAGTGGTGCTAGCCAACACACACACACACAAACACACACACACACACTGTGCTGCATTGCTTGAAGAAAACGCCAGTAGACAAAGAGGGAGGCCCTGGGTACCAGAGCCAGGAGGCCTGCCCGGAAGAGGCATACTTCTGGCCAGGAAGCTGCCCCACACACCTCTGTGAATGTCCCTGAGCCCCTCACTGTTTTG